AAAAATTTAATCTGTGGAATTGAAAGAGAATCAATTAAAGTAATATTTGCACCGTTTATTTTTTAAAAATTTTTAAATTGGTGGACTAGATACAGTTAGAAGTCACATGAAAATTTTTGATGAGTATAGCACCATATGATTTAGTGAATCAAATCATTCTTCTCGGATGATCATTTTAGTCGTAATGTTAGTTCGTTTTGGTTCTCTTGCGAATAAATAAAAAAGTCACTTTACCTTGCTTATGTTATTTTCAATATTTAACAAGTGAACAGCTTATTAAAGAGAAAGGTCAGGAATATGCAAACCTTTCATGAATGAAGGTGATTTACATTTTTCAAATGGATGGACCCAAAATTTCAAGAAAAGAATCAATTAATCTCTTGCATGAAGCCCCATCAAATCACTTTCATAAGAAATATTTTGATCTTGCAAATGTATCTAATGTGGATGAGACAGGACTTTTTTTTTCGAATGACACCAAATCAGACACTTTCAAAACGTAGGATGGAAAGGAAAAAACTGGCACATGTGGCATATTTTTAGTTTTGGATTTGGTTTCTAATTTTATGGACAAGTCTCGTATAACTTCTTGCTGTAAATTCAACTGGTACTCAAAAAGCTCCTAACAATCCAACTTGAAATTTAATATAAAATCACGATTTTACAGACACTGAAAATAATAAAGTAAAAAATATCTTTAATGAATTGTATGACATACTTGAATTTTAAAACATTTAAATCATGACAGGATAAAAAAATTTTAAAAAGTTAACAATATTTGTGTTTCTAATAATTGTCTTGTTCCTTAATATACATAAAAAGTTTGTCGTGTTGTTACTTTCTAAATATAGATTTTCAATTTTTTTTCTCATGGGAAATATTTTGTTGTAAAGAAAAATGATAATTATTTTTACATTGCCACATCATGCGAATTCCCGTTGCCATCTATTTGGCAACCGAAAAATCTATCTATTTTTGTTCAAAATGTCAAGTTTGAGAAAAGCAGATACCTGACTAAAAGGAAATTGTGTTTCGCTTTAGATTTTTTGTGTGATATCTATCATTGTCTACCTTTAGGTTTTCATCCTACTCTCCCCTTTGGACTGTTCAAAATGACTAAAAACTTAAGGCTTACCTTGGAGCCTTAGTGTTAGAATATTTTCGGGCCATGAGATCAAATAGGAAAATTTTTATTTTAATTTCCTTTCAGAGAAAACAAACAAATTTGTTTTTGAATGTTCTGGATAAGAAAAATTTTATTTTTAGTTGCTAATAAAATTAATCTTTGCAAAAGATTTTTCTAATTAAGAAAAAAAGCTTTGTTGATTTTTTTAACAATCGAATTCATAAATAACTTTTGATTCACACGAGGGTTATTCTTTGCGATGGATTTTTTACTAAATTCATGAGCAATTTCCTTTTGTATATTGTAATTTTTTTCTTAAATAAATAAAAAACAAACAAACAAACAAATTTTTGCTCAACACAATGAATAAAATAAAAATATTGATATAATAATGACTAATGTTGATGCTCCGAATGAATATATAGATATAATGTAACATGTAAAGCCAAATAATACATAGGATGTCATTTCAGTAGTATATATGTAAAAAACAAAACCAATGCACTGTTTTTTTGGTTGAGTAGCGATTCTATTTATATGTTTTGTTGTAATTTATTAGACTATTCAATCAATGCACCATCTGGTCATGAAATAGTCTATTTTTATTAGATTGCATCATTGATCATGAATACATGATAGGATGCTAAGATTCTTTGGATCCAGTGCTAATTTTGTTGATTACGCCTATACAAACTATTGAATTATTACATAATTTTTATTGTGTAATCCTGTGTAATTAAAAAAAATAAAATTTCAATAAAAATTAATTTTATGTATGCTGATGTGTGTATCATCATTGTTTTTATTGTTTTTTTTTCATATAACAGTTTCTATAAAACAATCCATTAAGGCAGGCAAGTATAAAATATGCATTAATTAGATCTGGCTACCCACAACATCCGACTCTTGTATTGTGATAGCTAAGCAATTGTGCTTGGCAGCTCTTGCAGTTTGTTGTTTAGAGCAAAGTATTGAGGTTACCCTCTTTATTGAGGACCATCCTATTGGACTTCCTTATTGTAGCAGACACCTTGGTCTTTGTCTCTAGTATATTAGGTATATTGTTTCCAGCTCCTGTATTGTGCTAGCTAAGTAGTTATGATTGGCAGCTCTTGCAGCTTGTTGTTTAGTATAAGGAACTGTAGAGGATGCCCTTTTTGTCACAGTTTATTGACCTTCTCGCTGAGCAAATTCCTCCATCTTTTTACTAGAAAACATTATGCCAAATGAGATCAAATAGGAAAATTTTTATTTTAATTTCCTTTCGGAGAAAACAAACAAATTTGTTTTTGAATGTTCTGGATAAGAAAAATTTTATTTTTAGTTGCTAATAAAATTAATCTTTGCAAAAGATTTTTCTAATTAAGAAAAAAAGCTTTGTTGATTTTTTTAACAATCGAATTCATAAATAACTTTTGATTCACACGAGGGTTATTCTTTGCGATGGATTTTTTACTAAATTCATGAGCAATTTTTTTTTTAAATAAATAAAAAACAAACAAACAAACAAATTTTTGCTCAACACAATGAATAAAATAAAAATATTGATATAATAATGACTAATGTTGATGCTCCGAATGAATATATAGATATAATGTAACATGTAAAGCCAAATAATACATAGGATGTCATTTCAGTAGTATATATGTAAAAAACAAAACCAATGCACTGTTTTTTTGGTTGAGTAGCGATTCTATTTATATGTTTTGTTGTA